GGGATTACAGGCATGCACCACTATGCCTGGCTTGCTTTTCTTACTATTACCAAATTATTAAGCAGTTTTTACATGTCAATATGTATTTTCTATGACATAATTTTAAGTGGTTTCATGCTATACTTTCATGCTGCTATAATTTGGTTCACACTTGTGATTGGTTTCTGTTCCAGGGCAGACATGACATATATTAATACCCTTGCTATTTATAAGGTGACAGTGATTTGAGTCCTGAGACTTAATGCCCAAGCACAGCTGCATGGTTTGTGGAGAGGAGCGATTAAGAACATCATTGTCACCCTGAACTCATACAGCAATTTGTGACAAACTGATTAGCAATTCAGCTTCCAGTCTCTAAATCTTAATACCACTTCATTAGGTCCTAAGGACCAGTGCATCTGAACATGCAAAGTGCTTAGCATGGTGCCTATCACATAGTACACACTTTACAAAGTTTGACCATTGAGGGGAAAAAAAACCGAAAACCAACCAACCAACCCACCACGAAAAAAAAACAAGCACCACTCAGGAACTGGCCAAGCAGTTCTACTGCATAATGTCACAGAGTACCAGACAAAAACACTTAGGTAGCATGATGGATCAAAACAAAACAAAACAAAACAAAACAAAACAAAACAAAACAAAACAAAACAAAAGACTACACTATAACCATGCCTAAACACAAGACAAGACACAGCTACTCTCCAAGACACAAAATCCGGAGGCCCTGATGCAGACAATTTTGAGCAACAGCTGCTTCTTACCAACTACCGTTTCAAAGTCAGTCTTATCTTTCTTGGTCCTAGTGATACAGGAAAATAAGAACTCCCAACCTGAATGATATCTGGGACCAGTTCGTGTTCTCTAAAATCGAAGAATGAATTTTAGGAACAATGGAGGTTAAAAGCAGAATATATTTATTGAGGGAAAGAAAGCTTCTGTCCAAGAGAGGGACAGAAGAGGGACCGAGTGGGTTGCCAAGGACCTTGCCCTTCCCAGGGACTTTATAGAGCAAAACCCCAAGGTGAGGCAGGTCCAAAATAGGGGGAAAATGGGAAATTACAGTGTGGGCATGAGGTGGGACAAAACTATGGTCAGCCAATAAGATTACAAGTATAATTGTTCAGGTAAAATTGAGTAAACTGCGATCAAATGTAGCAAGCGGGCATGAATACAAAACAGGGGCTTCTCTTGTAGTGGGGGTTGGGCTAGTGACTCTTTCTGGCTTTTTGAAGGTGGTTATTACTTATTTAGAGTACCAATCCCTGATGTTTACACCTAGGGAGGTATGTGGTGCATTTGTTTAGTCCTTTTGTCCTGAGGTCTGGCCCCCTTCTTTCATGTTGGCTCCTTCGAGGGCCTGGCCCTGTCTGACTGCCTATAATATTTCTATCTAACTCAGCTGCCTATAACACTAGGTAAGATGTACTCAAATACCCGAGCATAAAATCCCTTCACCTCTCCCTGACAACACCCATCCCAGGGGCAAACCATGCTTCTTTAGCCCCTCACCCCCACTCACCTCAACAAAACCCAGTCTTCCAGTAAGCCTTTTTTAACCTCCCCTCACTGAGATGCCCACAGGTCTGACGACACACCTTCTCTGCTGAAATGAGAAATGAATTCAACTTTTTCAACAAGTATCTTCTTAGTGGCCTTGGTTTGGAGGGCACTGGTGTAGTGTCATCTGTAACTCTTTCATCATAATAGAACTGCAATGCACAGATCTTGATTTCACCTTGAAACTGGTATAGGGGAAATAAACTTCCAACCTGAAAGATATCTGGGACGAGTTCGTGTTTGCTAAAATCAAAGAATGAATTTTAGGAACAATGGAGGTAAAGAGCAAAATATATTTATTGAGGTAAAGAAAGCTTCTGTCCAAGAGAGGGACAGAAGGGGGCCTGAATGGGTTGCTAGGGAACCTGCCTTTTCTAGGGATTTTTATAGAGCAAAACCATGAGGTGAGGCGGGCCCACGGTGGGCATGAGGTGGAACAAAACTATGGTCAACCAACAAGATTACAAACGTAATTGTTCAGGTAAAATTGATTAAATCGGGGTCAAAAGGGGAAGCAAGTCATGCAGCAAGCGTGCAAGAACATAGAACAGGGGCTTTTCCTGTAAGGGGTTGGGTTAGTGACTCTTTCTGGCTTTTGAAGGTGGTTGTTACTTATTTAGAGTATCAATCCCTGATGTCCATCCCTAGGGAGATATGTGGCCGTGTTTGCTTCAGCTTTTGTCTGGAGGTCTCCCACAGTTGCAAGATATCTTGTCTTCCATACTGGCTCCTTTGAGGGCCTAGCCCCATCTCACTGCCTATAATATTTCTATCTAACTCAGCTGCCTATAACAAAATCGTATCTCTATATTATTTGTAGAATTAGGGGTGGGAACTAAAAAGCAATGAAAATCATTCTAAATTGAGGAATGCAAGCAAGGATCAGAAAGCACTGTAACTTTTTTTTCTGGTACTGGGGACTGAACCCAGGGCCTTCCGCATGCTCGACAAGCACTTTGCCACTGAGCTGCACGCCTGGCCCTTTTTATTTTGAGGTAAGGTCTCATTAAATTGCCCAGGCTGGACTCGAACTCGCCATCCTCCCGCCTCAGTTTCTCCAGTAGGTGATATTGAGTAGTATGCCAATACTCCCAGTTGCATTGTAAAAGGATCCCTGCAACTTATCAGAGTCCTCTTTAACTCCAAAATATATTCTTAGAATGTAGATCTGCATAATACCTAAGACAAAAATAAAAATATCTAATTGTAAGCTCATCTGGTTGTAAAATTATAGGTTGTTCTTAACTCTATAAATGGATTGGCCCCAAAATTCATTTATACAGTAGCTGATCCTAAACTAAGGGGATAGACTTATTCCTAAAACAACCTTATGAGGTAAGCACCATTATTATCTTCATTTAAACAGAAAACTGCATTGTAGAGACTAATCACTTGTCCAAGGTCACAAGCTAGGAAATGACAATCCCTGAAACTGGGTCACAGAGAACGGATTCCAGGGCTCACCATATTCTTAAACCTTTATACTCAAGAGGACACAGGATACACCTTGCATTAGAGATGAAGCGCTCTCTCCAGTGAATCCTACCTGGGAGGCGGCAGCCGTTGTGCTGCCATTGGCAACATTTGAAACTTTTAGGCTCCTGAAGGCTTTGGCGTCCTTGGGCTTTTTGGAGCACAGAGATACTGTTTAAGGATACAGGTGGGATCGGAGAAACTAAAGAGAGTGGCTATAAACTTGCCCTATACAGGATACAGCCAGGAGTAGAACTCTCCATTCATGCGCAAGAAAAATTGAAAGGTTAACATTTCGATTATGGTGTACACTCGGCATGCTGTCACCTGTACTTCAGAGCTACCTGTGCCATTTTGGGGGAAAATCGCTATTTACTTAGCTCCTCTGTGATAAGCCCCCACCTGGAGAGGGATCGTGGTTCCAGCTTTTCGTTCTGCATTGTATTACCTTAGACATAGGTCATTATTTGGCCATTTTACCTGTCCATCCTCTCCTGGCCCTTATCCTGCCCAGTGGAGCTCAGTATAACAGCTCTTTATACCAGAAAACCTGAATGTCACCCGAGTCCTCCTTCCCTCCCCTTTGTCATATCCAATTGGCCACTGAGTGTCATGTATTCTATTTCATAATTCTGCAATCTGTCCATCCATTCATTAAATATTTATTTGTGCCAGGAGTATACAATGATGAATTGGATGAGATATCACCCATCCCTAGCTTCAAGGAGCTTCCATGTTAAGAACAGCACATTGCGTACGGACAACCCATTCTATAGAAGAGTTACTACATGAAAAAGTAAGTAGTGTACTGGGAGGGAACACTAGAAGTGGGTATGATTGCTCTCCGGAAGCCAGAGGGCTTTTCTGTCCTCATTGCCTAAGCTGAAATGTGAAGGGTATACCAGGAAGCTGGGCAAGGAAGAGAGTGTGTGTGCGTGTGTGTGTGTGTGTGTGTCAGGGGCAGAGTAGTGTGGGAGAAGAAGCAGTTCACCAGGACTGCAGATTAGCCTCCTTGCTGCTCTCTAGCCCGGTTTTAATCCAATAAACACACTGCCCAAGGCTTTCCAGTCCTCAAAGAAAAGAGGGCAGCGCCATCCTTCCCATCTCTAGAGGTCTGCCCTTCAAGTCCCCATTACTTGTCGTTCTTTCCCCAGCATGAACTGAGCACCCGCTCTGCGCAGGTACTGTTAACGGTGGCCTTCATGGCGCTTCCGGTCTTCGGGGAGTGTTTGGTTTACTGAAGACGGACGACCAAGGAGGAATTCGGGGAGTGCGTCAAGCTGACACTTAAGATGTTAACGACCCTTTAGGGACCCATCTACTTCGCTGTCTACACCGCTCACCCCGGCAGTTGGGGGTTCTGCGCCTGCCACCTGCCTGTCCTCGGGAAGAGTGACCGAGTGTTTCAGTCACTCCCTGGGAAGTCCTCCTCCTCCCGTCGCCCAAGGCCACCGCTAGTCTCGAGCCAGCTCCAGCACAACGTCCTTCTCGCGTGGCCATACTCCTCCGCGCGCAGCTCTGCCAAGGGGGTTGACGCGCGCGCGCAGCCGGGCAACTGCTGTTGGCAGACGCCGTCCAGCTCCCCGCCGCCTGGTGCCCACCTGAGACCAGCTCTCTAAGAGCCCCCCACAACCGGGTCAGAGAGGGCGCCTACGCCGGGACCCTTGCCCATGGGGGCGACAGGAGACTGTCTCTCCGAAGATCGCGGTCCCCGCCAGCAGCCCTCGGAGAGCCCCGGGCCCGGCGGGGACAGGAGGGGGCGCACCCCGGTGGGGGAGCGCGCGCCCGGCT